CCAACATGTCATCTATTCCAAACAACATATATTCACCAAGCAGTAAATAAATGTCATTCAATTAACGTTAGGGGTTAGATCCTTGAGTTTATTTCACTTGTTTACAACATGTTCTCAACGCCTTCTGTTAATATTGTTTACAATTAACGTATCTTTCTCCCGTCTTCCATCTAAAACCCACAAGTTTTTTTTTTTTTAAAAATTTTCTTTCTTGTTATTTATTCTAAACTCAAACTTACCAACACCTTAACCTCGCTTTTTTGTCTCACTTTTTCCATAATTTTTAATCTACACCAATGCGTTCACTTGTCGCAATCTATCAATCTTGTATTTTTTATTTCCTTATATTCGTTAACTACCTTGAGTTACCACTCTTTGATCATTCCCCTTGAAACATCATAAGTGTTAGGCTTTAGAACCAATTCCATCCCAATTTCCAGCCTTTAAAAGTTGGTGAAACTCAGCTTTTATTTACAAACTAAACAATCTACAATTCAACGTGGCAATCACTACACTATAACATTTACTCTAATTACTTGGAAATTGTGTACACACAACTACTTATCACTAACAATCCAACTCCAACCAGCCAAACACTGCCACACAAACACCAAACCATACACCAATACTACACACAACTGCCAACAAATTAAACAAAATCAACTCAATCAACCGATACATACATTTGATTCTCCTCCAGAAACCCATTATTATCAACCAAAGAACAACATTAATTATCGCAAAAACTACAATGCACTAACCTCAATGTAACACTTAGAATGAAACAACGTGGAGGCCGTACCGGCGAAGCGCAGTAGTGGCGGAGTAAGCACCTGTAGGCGAGACCATGGCAGCAGCAGTGGCGGGACCGACGACGCACACCCATGGCAGCAGCAGTGGCGGAGACCGGCAGGGCTATAGCACTGGCCCAGCAGTGTGTTGAGACCCGTCGACAGCAACCCATGGCAACAGCAGGGGGCGGATACCGGCATGCACCACTGCAGGCACAAGTGTCGGAGACCGGCTAGCCACCAATGTCAGGCAGTAGTGGAAAACGGCAAGGCAACCAATGCAGCAGCAGTGGCGGAGACCGGCGAGGCACCAATGGCGTGACGGCGAGGGGAGGACGCAGGCGAGAGAACTGGAAGCAAAGCGGTGGCGCGGCGAGGTTCTGCGACGACAACACAAATGAAGAACAACGTATACGAGGAAGAAGAAGCTGTTTGTTATGAACTAGAGCTACTACCTCGGTTACTCAAACACGCGACGTAATACATCAATACAACATCGGTTAAAAGCACAAACGGTGTAGAACGTGTCACTAATAAACCTTGGTTTAGGGACAAACCGATGCCCTAGGTCTGGCGTAGCAGTCAAGTGGCAGTTGGAGCAGCGCGTAGCAGCGTTGGACGTGTAGGACGTGTCACTAATAGACCTCGGTTCAGGGATAAACCGATGCCCTAGGTCTGGCGTAGCAATCAAGTGGCAGTTGGAGCAGGCGTAGCAGCGCATAGCAGCAGTGTAGCAGTCGTTTCGGCCTCGGTTCCCCTGAATCCCGAAGCAATAGGAGCTGGTTTAGGCACCGGTTGCCTACCAAACCGAGGCAGTAGGTAGGGGTTCAGACTTTTCAGTGACCAGCAGAGGTGTATAGGCTTCGGTCTCGTTCCAAACGAAGCAATAGGGAGGGGTTTAGGCCTCGGTTCCTTACTGAACCGATGTCGTAGCTTTGACCAACGACCTCGGTCCCTTCTGAACTGATGCTGTAGCGCTGGCGTAGCAGGAGCAGGTGTAGCAGGAGCAGGAGCAGGAGCAGACGTTTAGGCCTCGGTTGCGTGGCAGAACCGAGGCAATAGAGCCTTCTCAAAAAGCTGTCATACAGAAATGTCTTTTCTGCAGGGCGCTGTGCAGAGGTATATGCTTCGGCTCTTGTTTGAACCGAGGCAGTATGTCCATTGCGCTGCGGGCTCTGTTGCAACCGAGGTATACACTCTTATATGCTTCGGTTTTCTCATAACCGAAGCATATATGGCGCGTTTAAATCGGAAATTTTTACTAGTGATTAATACTTCGAATAACTTAAAAAAATTATATATATAATAAATTTATCTTATTTAAAAGCATCACAATTTGTTTTTAATACTAATAATTTTCACATAGGATTTATGTTGGGTGGAAAAAATAATCGTTAGCATAATGTTTTGAATAATATATTCATATACTCATATATTAATTTGAGTTAGCATAATGTTTCGAATAATATATTCGTATATTCATTAGAATGCTGCATCAGAGCATTCTAAAACTACCTTTTGTTTGGAATTTGGAGGGTTCATTATTAAATATTTCTCATTTCATTTATTTAATGGTTATTTTTCATGCAAATAGTACGCCGTTTAGGATGCGTTTTTAATTAAATAGCGGTAAAAGTATATAACCATTATCGTTAAATTGACTAGTCACGTTGTTATTCTTTCATCATTTTTATTATATTCGTTAAATTAGATCATCGTTACATTTTCTTTTCTATAAATAGTATCAACGCATTTGTTTTTTAATTTTATCATTTCACTCTCTCGTTTTGCAATATCCTTACTTTATTTACTTTTATATATTTTTATTTTATACTCCATAGAATTACGGTAATATAAAACTACACATATTTTATTTTGAAAAACCAAAAGAGAGAAAATTGAAGAATTAATTCATTCGCAATAGATTGAATGAATTCTCCATCATACCTATTAAAAGTAAAGTGTTTTTATTCTTGGATTGTGAATAATTTCATACATTAAAAACTATAAAAACAATAAAAAAAGTAAAATTTAATCACATTGATGATTATAAGCGTTTATTGATGAGAACATTTATGGAATTCTTAAAATGAAAAATTTATATATTTTGTATAAAAAGGATATTCTAAATTTTGGTATAGAAATGAATGAAGACTAAAATTGTGAATACTTAACACCAGTGAAACAGTATAAAATATAATATAATCAGAACTGCTAATAATAATGGGTTACTACATACAAGAAATGTTGTTGAACAATTTTGAATAAGGATATCTTCATATGAATTTCTTATATATGGCAACTAAATTTATTCATACACAGCGTAGTTGTGGTTTGATTTATATGTGAAAGAGTTTAAAAATTAACAACAGATCGATAAACAAGGCCAGCTTTCCAGCCAGATGGAATAACATTTTCAGCCACAATGGTGTTCCTTTTATTGTTGCCATCTTCAGTGAGCTTAATGGAGAACGGTGGTTGCATCCTTGAACCAAAGTTCAAAGACCACCTTGAACCCCATGAACGTTGCATCGGAAGCCACGTGTCAGAATTAGCTTGCTTCAGCTGAACCTCCACAAGGTCACCATCCCCATTTTCATATTCTATTGCAGTTGCAAAATAGTATGGGTTGGCTCCTTTGTCCACGCTAAAGGCTATGGAGTTCCCAAAGGAGCATGCAACCCTGCAAATCCAAAAGGGTATTTCAAATTAGTGTTATCTTGTCGAAATATGATCACAAAAATTACCATTTTGTCAGAAAAAGTTGTTATTATCTGTGATGGAACCAAATACGTAAGAATTATACCTTCTGTATAGAATTTGAAGTTGTCCAACGTTACGAAGACTATTTTCTTTGCCTGGAGTTGCCATGGAACCAAATACAGTGCCACTCAGATCAAAATGGACTGATGCTGAGTGACAGCCAGGGCATTCATCAGTTATCATCAAACTCACTGGATTTCCTGAACAAGCTGTGCTTTCTCTGCATTTCACCTTAAATTCAAACTATATTTATTAGAACGGACTTTTATATCTAACTTTAATGATTAACTAATAATTTACTCTATATATATTTCATTTTTTATTTTTATTTATTAAATTCAGTTATAATATTTATTAAATAAATCAATTATTTTTTTTTATTAAATTCAGTTATATTATTTATTAAAATAGGATTATTTTGATTTTTTTAATTCATATTAACGTCGTTATAAATATCATATGTTAAAATCTTGATATTCTTTTCCTTGAAACTCTTTAAGTTTTTTTTTTTCTTTTTTTATCTTTCACTATCTTCTCTTACCTTTCTTCACCTCCCTTTACCTTAGTTTGTAAGGAACATTTCTTGCTCTTCTTGATTTTCATAGCAAGAAGATCCAATTTTATGAGGTTTTTGTAGTTGTCGAGGTTGTTAAGATTGTTGAGCGAGTTTGATTGTCTTTAATATACATGATTTATGAGTATTTAGAGAAAATTTTCTAAGACGACATACATAATATTAAGATGAGAGCTTAATACACTTAAGGAATATACATTATTTTGAACCCAAAATTAATGAATTCATTATTATATTACTAAAAATGTACACTATATATATTTGTGTATATATATATATATATATATATATATTTGTATGTATATATATATAAGTATGTATGTATATATATTATGGTTTGATTATATAATTAATCGATTTAAGATTTTTACGAATGCTTTAATGACAAATTATTAAAAAATAGAAAAATACACTACAGTATGTAATTAATAAACATATACTATATTTAAAAGAGTTTGATTGTACCTTTGAACTGACACTTTGGACACATGAAATAGAAAAAATGATTGGAATATAATATTGAAAAGAAAAAATTAGCAATAATGTTGCATGCACCTGATAACAAGCTCCACATCCTCTGCCTCCCCTAAAGAGAGAAGAGCCTCCAGCTGATATCATTTTAGAGAGTGGAGGTTTCTGCACACTGTCAGCATATCCACAAGCACCCCCTACACGACATCACAAGAAAAACCAACAATGTTTCAACTCATGATGCTTAAAAACCTTAACTCAACAAAGGTTGATATTTCTAACATGGCAACTGATACTCACCATCTATTCATGCATGACAGATTTAAATACTTCAATACGTAAAAAAGGTTAAAAATTAACACTTTTTAGTTGTTTTATTATCAACATGGCAACTGATACTCACCATCAGATCCAGCACCCTCTGGTTCTCCGTACCATGTAGCTGCTGCTACATTCCATTGATCATCTTTCTGAAATTTGGATATATTAAATAATTTGAGATTGAGACCATGGCTAGGGTTTAGGAGCAGAGAACAGAATGTTACAACGAAAGAAATGTAACTAAGAACTTGCATGATGCGATTTCTAAATAACAGATCTTGGGAATATTATTCGTGTTGGTGCAATTAGGCAACAGCACATGCTAGTCCTATTTATAGACCAATTTGCTTCGAATAATTGTCCATAATATTTTTCAAAATGAAATTATTGCCGTTTAAATATCCATGATAAAAGGAGAGAGATAATTTATTCCTCGTTTCCGTAATTGTAATTATTTTTCATAAACAATAATAGTAATTTCCTTATAGTATATATTTTGATTGTTTTGCTCAAAGAAGCAAAACTATATTGCGTCGTTGACTAATTTCATATTAGATAAAGGTTTGATATTCATAGGGTTTGAAACTAAAACGGATAGAGTGTTAAATATAAATTTTTTTCTAATTGGTGCATATATTCATATTCTGAAATGACTTTTTAACGTTTTTACATGAGTTAGATTGCCCCTTTCATTTTTATTATTAAGAAAAAAATTGCGTTGCATATATGCATATATATATATATGTAATTCAATGCATGCCAAATTTAAACGGACTGAAACCATAATCTTTGTTACGTTTCCTCCTTGAAAATAACAGAGTTTTTGACTCATCTCATTTTTCTCTTTTGTCACCAAGATGTTAATTTATTTTTAAATATCAAAAACCCAACATTTGAAACTTTTTAGCTTCAAAAGTCAAATTAACTGAGTTAAATGTTTACCGGAATTGGAAATTTTTCCAGCAACTGAATAAAGTAATAATAACTTACTTCATATAGAAAGGTGATAAAATATGAATCACAAAATCAGGAATATAATATAATATATGTATATTTGTATATTATCCTACTCACAATCAACTTGTTGGACACAAGTGAACTCCGTTTCTGCTGCGTTATGTCTGTTTAGGAAAATAAGTTTTAAAATTAAAATATTATAAGATAACAAAATAAGCTTTCTTTTTGTAGAAAAAATAAACTTGTAAAAGAAAAAAAAGAGTTTTAACAGTGTTTAACTTAGAAAGAGCAACCTTTGAAAAAATAATGACACTTTAAAATAAATTTACACTATCATATAGATAAATCAATATATATTCGAAATGAAGAATTTCGTTGAAAAGATGTTTTTAAATGTTTATCTAAACACAAACTACTTGGATCGAAATCTGATTGAGATATTCCAGTATGGTGGAAATGAGCCTAATTTTCACTGATTGGTAATGAAGATTTATTACAAACTTTATTAGATGACTCAATTTTCCATCATTTATAGTTTTGCTACGTTTGCTAAAGTAGACACAATCTTCACCATTTGTTTATACATATTTAGAAAAAGAAAATAACCTAGCAATTGGAATTACGTAAGAATTAACCAGACACAAACAGAAAAGTACAATGAATTCATTATTTGGTACACACAAGTTTTAATAATAGGTTGGTCTGCTAACACCCCTCCAAAAAATTAGGTTTCTTTGCACTTTAAACAAGTTACAAATACCATTTTACTACTTAACTTGTTCATTTAGCTTTATCTCTGTTTGAAATTTTCTTTCTTTATTTCTAAAATAAGTTATTCAATTATTCTTTTCATGTTAAGTGCAACTTTAAGGTCAAGATTAAGACCATATACAGGAAAGTTGACGGGGAGTATGAGATTTTAAGTAGGATAAATACTCGATAATTACTTTAAAATAATCAAACTTTAATTAGCTATGAAAAACAGTTAGTACTATTAAGAAAATATATTAAAATAAATTTCTAAATCACGAGTTAGTTCTCTCCAAAATCTATTAAAATATATTCTTCACTCTTGTTTGAAATTGTAGCTTCAAAGTTTAACAGATTTCAGATTTATCTAACTCATTTTTAAAATAAAAAACTATTAAAAAAAATGTCGTGTATGGTATTGGATTAAGATTTTAAAACATTTCAACTTGAAAAAATCTTAAAATATTCTAAAATATTTTAAATGGTACCAGTAGAAACGCATGTGCTTAATATGTGTTTTTTTATTGCAAGTAATTAATTTAATTCAAAAAATAAGTAAATTTAAATAAACTATCAAATGAAATAATTAATTTAGTTTTAAAAATAGTTAAATTTGAATAAAAGGACAGTTAAAATATAAAATATTAAAATAATTATTTTAGTTTATAAAATGTTAGACAATGAAATTAGAAAAAACAAAGTTTGAAAAAACTCCTTCGTTAATAATATAAATATAAAAAATAAAAAGATGGATGACGTCGCTCTGACGTTTTTCATAGTTACATTCTAACGTTTGAATGATTGTCAAGTCTGCAGTCCATAGGAACTAAAGTTTTACCCTAAGTGTGACACGTAAGTTCATTGCCACCTAACATATATATTTTATTTCTACTTAAATATATCTAGAGGTAAAAAAGCTTCAAAATAATACATTTTATTAAAACTTTTTTCACTACGGTGGTTTTATATCTGCCTTTATAATTATACCTTTTGCTTTTCTTTCACTACAACTTCTTCTTTCCCCTCCCTTATTACATTGCACCTTTTGTTTTTTTTATTCTCTCATTGTTCCACAGCAAATTTATTTGAATTTAATTAAAATAATTATCCAATGAAAACAAAAACTTGATAATAGTCCTTGTGATGGTCAACATTTGTCAAAACATCAAAAACACGTACTAGTAAAAAAACAGTTTTTTAAGGGGACTAATATGCTTCGGTTTTCATAAAACCGAAGGATATTGAAACGCAGTGACAATTTTGTAATTAAGACGAACTAATATGCCTCGGTTCAGTAGGAACCGAAGTCTATACACTCTATTGTCTCGGTTATTTTACGAACCGATGTTATTGGGCATTTATATTTTCAATCTGCTTTCTAACCGAGGCATATAGGTTTTGAAATTTTTTTTTAGCTCTTTAGACATCGGTTAGTAGATGAACCGAGTTAGTAACTCTTTCAAATTACTCAAACCTGAGAAAAAGTTTACACATTTTTCTTCTTCCCCTAGAGCGATCTTCTTCTTCCCCTATGACCTCCACCACCCCTAAGCGAAACCCTAGCCACCTTACCGTAAGCCACCTAGCATCGGCACTATCCTCCATCAACGCGTCACCAGAATCGCATTTCACCATCTTCATCGCTATAGAGAATCTTCCATGAGCATCTTCACGAAGTTCCAGCGTTAGCCTTGCAACCTCCATCTACATCGCAACTCGATCAAAGAAATCTGCACAGCGGCGCAAGCAGAACATGCCACCATTCATCTTCATCACCTACAAACCTAGAAATAAGAAAATCCCAAATTCCATGAACCCTAAATTGAGTCGTTGTTAAACCTCGTGAGATTCTGATCTCCAGTGCGACCGCAGGATTCCGATCTCCGACGACGCCAAGTCCAACTCCATCATCTACACCAACGCCAGATCTGTGGTAATCGTGAGCCTCGAAAATCCCTTTCACGTCTCTGTCTACGCGGAACATGCCTATCCGGCCACCGTCGCGCGTTTCTCCCCCAACGGCAAGTGGGTCGCCTCCGCCGTCGCCTCCGATACCGAGTTGAAGAGTTAATAAAAGGTTGTTATGATTCAACCGAGTTTCCGCAAGTTCCTATGGCACAGTCAGACACTACTGCTATATTTTACTCTTTAAGGACCACGGGAATAAGCAAAGGTGTGGTTTTAACTCATGCAAATCTCCTTTCCATAATGAGATTGATTTTCTGGTCTGCTGAAGTTAGTGGATCCCAAGATGATATTTTCTTGGCCTTCATTCCAATGTTTCACATCTATGGATTTGAATTCTTTGGATTAGGATTGTTGTGTGCTGGTATAACAACAGTTTTGATGCAGAAGTTTGACTTCCAAGATATGCTTGATGCAATCCAGAAGCACAAGGTTAACAACGTGCCAGCATTACCACCAGTGATCCTTGCGCTAGTGAAGTATTCAAGTAAAGTTAGGTGTGACTTGTCCAGCATAAGAAGAATGGGGACAGGTGTTGCACCTTTGAGCAAGGAAGTGGCACTAGATTTCAGGAAAATGTTTTCAATGGGTTGAACTAAGGCAAGGTTATAGACTAATAGAAAGTAGTGGTGGAGCAACATTTTTTGTCACAGATAAAGATGCTAAAGCTCATCCAGATTCATGTGGGAAGTTGATTCCAACATTTTCTGCAAAAGTTATAGACATTGAAACGAGGAACCCTTTTCCCCTAACAAAGAAGGAGAGTTGTGGTTAAAAAGTCCTATTATTAGGCTTTGAGTCATTTAGCTAGCTTAATTCTTGATTGTTGGAAGATCTACAAGCAAAAATTGTTTTTAATGTGTATTGGGAGATATGCCTCGGTTCAATAGGAACCAAGGCGCAAAGTTCTTCGAAAAAAAATATAAAAAAAAATTGTACTGCTTCGGTTACCGGTGAACCGAGGCAAAATCCTATCTCTTTTTGACTCGGTTCAGAACCAAGGCAAAAAGCTTACCCCTTTTTACCTCGCCTGTATATGCCTCGGTTGTAGAACCGGTGTCTATAAGCGAAAATAACTGGTGTCATTTCCCTTGACTGCACTAGTGACGTGTTCAAGTGTTACGATTTCAAAACTTCATAATATTTCAACTCTCGTTTTTATTAACTAGTTGTCTTTAGGGTTGGGCAAAAATAATTGATCTGTACTGCACTATATATACTATATTATACTAAAAAAACTAATCCATTTTTACTAAAAGTTAAACATACTATTTTATTGTTTAGTTTTTGAAAACTCAACTTATGACATTTTCGGTTCAGTTAAATGCGACAACTATACTATGTTTTTCCATCCCTCTTTCATTTTCAATTTTTCAATTATTTCTAAAACTTGCCCTAGCTCGCGTTGTCCACCATGAGAGAGCTTCAGTGAAATCTCGCGTTGTCCATCATGACCTTGTTAGCAAAGGAGAGCTTCAACGAAATCTCACAATGATCCTGCCATGACTCTGCCCTAGCTCACGTTGCCCACCGTTTTCGTCGAAAGAGAGCTCCAATGATAACACACGGTCGCTGCCACCGTGACCCTGTTGACAAAGGAGAGTTCCACTGTG